CGTGTGCAGGGACTAACCTACCTGTTGATCTGTATTCAAGATTAAACTACCTGCAGGTATGTCTACACAAGTACCTACAAGTAGATCTATCTGAAGACTCTAAATTACCTGAGGGTCTACCTTCAAGTTTTAAACTTCCTGTAGGTCTATGTATATATTCTAAACATGTCTGTAGGTCCATGCACAAGATTCTAAACCACATGTTGGTTGCCTACTAGACCTTCATCCACCTTAATCCACCACACCAAAATAACCTGTAGGTCCATCCTTGAGTTTTAAACTACCTGTAGGTCTATCTAAGATCTACCTAAACACTCTTACCTACCTGCAGGTCCAACTACAAGTTCTAAAGTACTCTCTTCAGAGGTCTATGTACAGACTATCTACCTGTAAATCTGTCTGCAAGACCTAAACAACCTGTAGGGGTGTAGGAACTAACCTATCCATTATTCATTTTCAAGAACTAAACTACCTTTCAAGACTACTACCAAGTCTGTCTACAAGAACGAACTACCAGTAGGTCCATCTGCAGACTCTAAATTACCTGTTGGTCTATCTTCAAGTTTGGGTAGACCCAGAGGTCCATACACAAGATTCTAAACCACATGTTGGTTGCCTACTAGACCTTCATCCACCTTAATCCACCACACCAAAATACTCTGTAGGTCCGTCTTCGAGTCCTTCTATCTAAGGTCTACCTGTAAACTCTAACCTACCTGTACAATGCAACTACAAAACATTGATTCCCTGTAAGTCTATCCACAGACTTTAAACCACCAGTGGGTCCATCTACAAATCCTGAACCACATGAAAGTCTGTGAACCAGAACTTGTAGGTCTCTTGACAAGAACGAAACGACCTATAGCTTTATCTACAAGTTTGAAACAGTAGACTGTACTGGAGCTCCATCGGCAGGATTTAAACCACCTGCAGATCTATCTACAGTCTCTAAACTACCTAGAAGTCAATTTACAAGGACTCAAACATATTTATAGCCTATACTTTTACATTCTCCATGTACTTTTCAGTGAGTTTGAGAATTTTTCAAGTGTTTGTTTTATGTGATTCAACAAAACAACCTGCCATTCATGCAGAACTGAAGCTTCCCCTGGTTTTAAAACGCCTGTAGGTTTGCTTGTGCAGGTAAATAAAGCTACAAACCGCCACCACAGTTGTTGTGTGTCATGCCGACAGGATGTGAACCTCGTGGTCTCGGTGTGTGTGAGCTCACCTCTGCAGACCCGCTTCAGTCCCGATTAATAAAAAGTCCTCACAGGAGACAACACAGCCCAACGTGTAGAAACGCAGCTCAACGCCGACTGCAGCGCCTCATCTACGGCTCTCATTCTGCACACATCGCTCCAGTTTCCGGAGACAACAAACAAACAAACAAACAACTAAACAAACAGTGAACAGTTTGTTGTGAGCACACTGTGTGTGTCGGACCACTTCCTCCAGTCAAACACTGAAACTGAGAAAGTCAAACATTTCTCTGCTCTTAAACCAACTGCCGCTTCTGCCGCCGCTCAACAGGCTGCTGAGGCTGCGGCTAACAAGCTAACGAAGCTAACGGCTCACACTTCCGGTTACAGCCTTCAAAGTAAAAATCCAGTTTATATCTGTTTAGTGGTAAAGGAAGTATTCGGTTATTTTACTGCAGTAAAAGTATTGTAAAAATACTCTGTTACGATAACATTTTTTAAATGTATTGTTATTGTTGTCTTATTTTCATGTACTTTGTGAAGCATTTTGTAACTTTGTTACTACTGCTATACAAATAAATAATTAATTAATTAGTACTAGTAGTAGTATTGATATTATTATCATTATTTATTGTTATTATTATTATGTAGCATAAGGTCAATAATTTTACATTTTTATGCACTTTACATACTCAGCATATTACACATATTGTATTTTTAAATATTTTACATACTGGTGTGAACATTGAAGCATATTGCACATATTTTTAATGAATATTTTTACAAATTTTACTTTCTATAATTTTCTATGTTTGACATCAGCACTTGCACAAATCGCAGTCTCCCCCACTGCAAAATGAAATAATGAAGTCACACACAGGCTAATATCACAGTTAAAGTTCAGTGTGTGTACACAAGTTTATTTGCTAGTAACAACATAAGTAGGGTGGTGGTGTTATCAGATTATTTATGGTGTGATATGACAGTAATGAAGGATCATGTATCAATACAACACTGTAGAAATAAATAAAAGTATGTAAGTATGTATCAGTAAATGAAGTTTTGTGACTGTTTGATCTCATTAGATCATTCTGATTCATGCACTAATGTAAAATCAGGATTTTACTGTTGTAGCTGGTTGATGTGAAGCTCATTTGAACTATTAACTGATGATTATTTTCATTATGGATTCATCTGCAGATTGTCATCTCTATTAATCAGTTGATTGTTTGGTTTGTAAAAAAAAAATGAAAATAGTGAGAAATGTTCATCACAATGACCCGGAGCCCAAACTGACACCTTCACTATGTTTGTTTGTTTAACCTCAACATTATTTATAATACATTGTAATTAATAACATTTTTCAAAGAAAAAGTTGGTGAAGCTGGAGCCATGAAATGTTTTTATATGAAAAAAGACTAGTAACTAATGTTTGGTTCGTACATGTAGTGCAGTAAAAAGGTATAGTATTTCCTTTTGAAATGTAGTTAAGTAAACGTGGCGTACACCTTGATTTGTAGGTACACTACTTGAGTAAATATACTTAGTTACATTTTACCACTGTCACATTACATGTAACAACTCAAGGCAGCTTTATATATATATATATATAACGTAAGTTAATTATATATTATAGTTATAAGTTAATTACTAAGTTATTTACAATTTTAAAAAATCACAATTAAAATTAACAAAAGTGCGGACAAGAGGCGCAAAAATAAAAAGAGTATTTAAATTTAAGATTAAAAACTGAGTTTAAAAATAAGGTTGCGGTTGTTACAGGGTGGAGAAGGCAGTGTGAAACAGATATGTTTTTAGCTTTGATTTACAAAAGTGGTCAGAGTCGGGGCTGTCTAACATCATCTGGGAGGTTACTCCAGATTAACAGAATATGAATACAGCTATTGTAGAACTTCTTACTTCCTGTGTCATTTACTCAAGTGCTGTACTTAAGTACAATTTTGAGGTACTTGTACTTAACTTGTGCATTTCCATTTTCTCCTACTTCATATTGTACTTCCCTAATCTCAGAGGTGAATGTTGTACTTGTTACTCCACTACATTTATCTGACAGCTTTAGTTACTTTGCAGATTCAGATTAATGATACAAAAGATAATGTATTACAACTGGTTAAGATAAGTTCGCATCAGTCAAGCCTCTACACTGTGGTGTTACTACTTTTACTGAAGTAAAGGATCTGAGTACTTCCTCCACCTCTGATTGTCTCCACATAATTTCACTTAACTCAGTTAATTATAGGTTCTTCGTCTGTGGTTTCCTTTTTCAACCTTCAGGATGTTTCCTGTCATCTGCTGGTGTCCTGTTCCTTATTATAAATCTGACTTTGAGTTTGTGTTTTCTAAAAAATTACAGGTTTAATGCTTTACATCAGCATGTTGGCATTGTCATTGTTGCTGCTGATGTTAGTATTTAGCTCAGATCACCACTGTGTCTCAGTTCAGCCTCACAGACTCCATTTTGTCTTTTCTATCCGTCAGACATTCAGAGTTGTGTTTCTGCAGTCTGACTCTGGGAACTAACCGACTTCTCCTTCTCCTCTTTTTTCAGGAGCTGTCAGAGTCCTGCTGCTGCTGCTGTCAGTGAAAACAGAGGCAGTGAGCTTGTTGCCTGGTGAAAGTTTGGGAGCGTCCCTCACACGGTAAACAACAATTACAGAGCAGCTCAGTGGTGATGGCTTGTTTTGGCTGCTGCTGTGGGAACAAAGTGTTTCTGTTGGTTTTCTGTGTTCACGTCACCAGATGGTCATGTTCAGCACGACTCTCTTTTCTTTAGCATTTTAAAGTCATGATGATTTCATGAATGATTGTCCATTAGCTCTCTGTGCAGTATGTTTGTAGTTTTCTTGTTTTTCTATCGGGATATATTCATTTCCATCGCGGATCTGATTATGTATTTCATCTCTTTGCAAAGAACTGACATTTGATTTAAAATGTGTTGTGTAAAAAGACTGCAACCAGTTATTTCCATTATCAATTAATGTGCTGATTATTTTCTCGATAAATCATCAACAAAACTAAAGTATCCCAAAATCCAGTTATGTCCTTAAATAACTTGCTCTATCTAAAACCAACAGATGTTTTATTTAAGTCATAAAATCTCACTTTAAGAAATATTTGTCATTTTTGCCTGAAAAATGACTGAAATGCTGAACTGATAAACAAAACAGTTCATTTTCTTTCAATCGACTAATTAATTTATCTTTATTTATTTGATATGAGATTTAATCACATCTCTACTGTAATAATAACTACTGTACCACTGGTGTTACTACTTTTATTGTGAAAGTACAAACCTAACTTCCGGTACCACTCTGATTTCAGCTTGACTCAGCATCTGGCTCTTAAAGGATGATTGGATCAGAAAACTTCATCTCATGAATATTCATGATGTACTCACAAATAAACATGAGAGGAGCTTCCACCATGACAACAAAAACATAAAACTTAAAAAGTTTCATGCTTTTTTATGGTTTAGAAAAAAATGTTGTCTTATCTGCCAGCAGAGACATTTTAAAGTTTAACTTGCTGTTGAAGTTTTTTGTTAAGTAAAGTCCATTTTTTTCCAAAAAGACAAAATCACAGTGTCTTTTCCAAGCAAATCCTCAAACAAATGATTAAAATGTCATTTATGAAGAGTCTGTTTTATATTTATGGTCATGTTTTAGAAAATAAAGTTATTTCAGTCTTGAAAGGAAGAAAGGTTCACCAGTGTGTGTGTGTCTGTCTACAGAAGGAAACCACAGTCACTCCTCAGAAACAAAAAATGTGCTTTATTTATTTAAAAAAAAAACTGCTGCAGCTGATTCCAGAGCAGTGTTTTCTCATCAATATAAAAGAAGCTGATGTGAACAGAATATTAATTATTCAGTGAAGTCACACAGAGCTGCGGGAGCTGCTTTCAGCCCAGAGACAAAGTTAAACTCCTCACTGAACCCTCTTTTAATCTGTGAAGGTTAACCCTTTACTGTTGGATCAACTCCATAAAATCTAAAACAAAGACAGTTTTGTTCAGCAAAGTTATCCAGATAACTCTGTAAACATAGATAGATAGATAGATAGATAGATAGATAGATAGTTGATGCAAATACTTTTACTTAAGTAGCATTTTAAAGCATCATACTTTCACTGGTCATGGAGTATTTTTACACCATGGAATTACTACTTTTACTTCAATAAAAAATCAGAGTGCTTCTTTTATCGCTGACTGTTTAATGAGCAGGTTTATTTACTTATGAATAAAACCTCAGTTCCCACTTGTCCAGGTTTGAAGAGGTATAGTTTTTTGTATTGATTGAAGTTACCAAGATATCTGTGCTCTACCGGGTCAAAGGTCAGATTGTGGGTGTGGGTGTTGTGGGTCAGATATGTCCTTGCAGCAGCTGGACTGCAGCGTCCTTGTTGTGCCTCCTGGCCTCCTGCAGAGGAGAGCTCCCCCACCTGTTGGAAAGACAGAACCACATCACACACTGTTTCCTCCACAGGTAAAAGTAACGTAAGGATTATAAACCAGTGTATCACCTCCATAAACAAACACTAGATAATGTGAATAAGGAGGAGACACCTGAGGCGGCTGAGTTCCTCCACCCATCCACTGAATGGAAGATTTTGTTTGACAAAAAAAAAACTGATTCCATTATTTTGGTTTTGACTATAGTTTAATTTGAAAGATGCTGGGCTGTAGTATTAATGTTTCATTTCTCTCTGAGGTGTTCCTGCACAGTTATGAACAAACATCCAAACATACTGTATATACAATGCCTTAAACAGTCTTTTTAAAAAGTCAAATTGTTTTTTGTTTGTAATTTGTGTCCCTTTGTATTTTCTTAACATGAGTGCAAAACTGAACCAGTGGAGTCAGAATATCTCAACTTGTTTCATGTATTTTCTAACTTCAAGTTGCATTTTTCTTGTTTCTTGTGCAGCGTCCTGCCTTTTTCTGTATTCTCTCTCCAGATACTGAAACTCAACTCTGGAAAAATGACTGAAACAAGATGATTTTATTGGAAAAGGTCAACTAAAGACAGAAATGACTCGTGAAGATGGAGATTTTGCCTGTGAAATTATTTCACGGCTTGTTTTCTCATGTTCTATTTTAAACTGCAGGCTGATACATAGTCCTCTGATGGTTCTGTGATCAGCAGGTACTGTCTCACCTGTACCTGATGGTTGCTGATCTGTTCTGTACACACATCTACTGCAAGTCTTTCTGTCCTAGAGGAGTCCAGTTGCTCTTCCAGAGGTTTCTACCATTTTTTTCCACGTTAAAGGGTTTTTGGGGAGAGTTCTGTCTTTATCTGCTGTGAGGGTCCAAGGACAGAGGGATGGCGTATGCTGTCAAGTCCTTACTATGTTCAGTAGGTATTGTCTCACCTGTGGTCTCACCTGTCCCTTATAGTTACAGACTGTGTTCAGTAGGTTACACTCACCTGTCCTTGAGGGCGGGGTTCGCTCCTGCGTTCTCCAGCAGGAAGCGGATGACCTCTGTGTGACCTTCAGCAGCTGCCACGTGCAGAGCCGACCTGCCGTCATAGTCGACAGCATTTACATCCACTCCAGACAGGAAGTACCTGCAGAAAACCACAGAAGAAGAAATACTGGACTGGCAGTTTCTCCATCCTCTGAAATCAGTGTCTTTAAACCCACTGTCGATTTTGTATTTAGATTTTATTCATTTTTATAATCAAAGACAGGATTTCTATTTGGCTCATGCAGATAAAACAAAGCTGAAGGTTTCATTAAGCTTCTGATGTTGTTGTCATGACGCAAAATTAGCTGTTCAAACTCCCCAGTGAGCCTCCAAGGGAAAACTGCTTTCTTTATGAAGCTTTACGCGTGCATACTTTACTGAGACGATGTTTGCTTGGAGGCTCTCAAATTCAAGTTAATATCTCTGTCTCTAAATGTGCAATACAGAAAAATTACCTGCAGCTCCCTTTAATTTCATTAGTCACATGTTGACCAACTTCAGGCTTCAAATTAGTTTTTCCACCACAACTCAGTGCAGCACATAAAATTTACAACATTAAAGCCCCTGAGTATCTCTGGGTGGTTTGCTGGGTTGGAGGAAATCGTGCCCACCAGACTAGAACTACACCACCTATTTTTTTACTGTACACTTACTGACAGTGTGTCTGTTTTTATATACTATGCATAATCAATATATAAGAGGTTATATAATGTTGTATTATTAAAGTTAACCTCCTCAGGGCCTGGACGTCTCCTTTAAAAGCTGCCAGCAGGACGTTCATGATCTGGTATCCCTGCAGACAAGAGGAGGTTTCTTTTTAGAGTACTGATTCTGTACAGAGACAAAGACAAATAAACTGATCTGGGATCAGAATGAAGCAGCAGAACTGACCTCAGATTCAGCTTTCCACTGTCTATAGGCCAGAATCTGTCTGAACGGAGTCCTGATGTCAAAACTGTGCAGCTGAAATGTGGAAATCAGCTCCTGCAAACAAACAAACACAATGAATGTCTCTGTAGGAACCAAAAACAGCATCCCCCATCATCTCCATCTATCTTCACTTCAAGATCTAAACTTTAATCTATATCCTTCACATTACAACACAGTAAAATACATCTACAGCTGTCCTTTCCATTCCAATCTTCAGTCTGTGTGAACATGTCTGAATGAAAAAATTAAAAACAAAATATCAAAATAATACATTTTCTGTCAGTAAACTTATCGATTAATTGTTTCAACTCCACTTGTATATCGAGTTGGGTAGTTTCATCTAACAAAGTGCCATATTTTATAACTAGTAACTAAAGCTGTCAGATAAATGTAGTACAGAAAAAGTACAATATTTAACAAGTAGTTGTTAAGTGTTTAAATGAACCATAAAAGGTGTGAATGAAACAAACAAGTGACCAGTCCACTTCCTGCTGCCTGTTTTCAGTGTTACCTGACAGAAGTGGACGGCCCTCCAGGGGTTTCCACAGGCGTCTGTCTCTGGAGATAACGCCATCAGACCCAAAACACCAGGAACCACTGCCAGCAGGGAGCCGTGGCTGCTGGACACGGCCGGCACCGACGTCTGCAACCAAGAACAATTCAACATACAATCACATGACTCTTAAAAATAAAAGTGAAGATCCTCACAAAACTCAAAATGAAGGATCTGCTTACATGTATTTACACCTGCAACAACACAATGAAACTTTAATTCAGACTGACCAGATGTGAGCACAAGAAAGAGACAGAATAAATAATGACTAAATATTAACCATAGAAACACATATAATCAGCGATGGAAGAAGGATTCAGATTCTTTACTTCACTAAAAGTACTAATACTACACTGGAAAATACTCCATTACAAGTAAAAGTCCAACATTGAAAATGGTATTTAAGTGAAAATGCAGAATCCCTGAATCTGTAAATTTCATTAACTTAGTTAAGTTTAACTTCTGGCCACAAGATGTCTCCTGCTTCACTGTGAAGCGTTTATGAGGCTTCATGTTTCATACTGAACACTGTGATGTCATAAATCCTGCAGGTATGTCCAGGTGGGTATTTTCTCTTTTCTCTAAATAACTGACTGCAGCAGGATGGAGACTGGACCTTGTAGTGGAAGGTGGTGGAGTAATCCTTCATCCCCGCCACCTGCATCATGGACAGCATACTCCGCGTTGCCACCGGCGACAGCACCTGGTCACCTGACAGCGGGCAGAGGCCCCCGTTGGCTAACGAGGCGGCCATGGCAGCTCCTGATTCGCAGGTGATCTCTGTGGAGGCGCACTGTGAGACAGACAGTAGAGACACAGCCGAGTCCAATAGAGTCATAGTATAATAACTAATACTGTATTCAGTTAAATAAGTATATTTTAAAATATTACACTTCATTTATAGAACAGAACAACTTCTAAAAAGTAAAAACTAAATTTTTAAGTCTTGTAGATTTTGTGATATTGGCACAGAAACAAGTCTGTATTTATTTTCTGAATGTATATCATGTAAAAAATAAATGGGATTGATGAGTGCTCCAGGGTTGACATTTTTCTGTAGGCCGAGGCAGAAGTTAGCATCCCTTGTCAAAAAGCCTATGGGATTTTTTTCATTAGATTTTGGATTATAACAAAGTTTATGATACTTGCAAGCTTTGTTCAGCAAGATAATCTTCACAAACACCGCTTTTATGATTTTTGAAACCTAAATGCAATCGCAAGAGATAAAAAGCTAATGTAAGCAATAAACTAACTACACTACAGTCTTATCGTCGCCCCCACAGCACGGCTGTAAAGCCATGTCGGCGTGATGACGTTCTGCAGTCTCAGTAAGCAACCTGTTGGCAGTCGCATTTTTTAAAGACTCGTGAAAGCTTCAGAATAAACGAGCGGGGTATTTACTTAAGTATTTTATGTCGTAGAACAAAACTTGGAAGTCTCTCAAACTTGTGTTAGCCACAGACCTTATCTCAGGCGTCTAATGAAAAACCCATTCAAAAAACCCACTGACTTGAAGACGAGGGAACCCAGAGTGCAGAAATGCTGACTCATTCCCAAGTTTAAAGACCCATTCCTGGGTAACTCTATTTAAAACACGGGGTAGTGGTGCACTTCAGCCTCTTGTGGCCAAAATGAGTATTGCACCAACAAACACGCTCACTAAAAAAATCACTTGCAAAAGATTTTTTTTCCTCCACGTGTTTCACAGATGACTTTATTTTATTTGTTTATTTTTTGTTTTAAAAGAATATGGTTAACTCATCCTGCAAAACCTTTTTTCATGTGTTCCTAAGTCATAAACACAGGAGATAAATCATTTTAGAACAGACTTAGAAAACAGATCAACAGAATTTTTTTTCTCACTGTACTGATATGTTGGGATGTAAAGCAACAGTAAGGTGTGTTTTACCTGAAGCATTAGATCCAAAGCAGCATTAATGTCCGCCTTCTCTGGAAAACACTAGAAGACAGGAAATTGTTAAGAAAAGAGACATGGGTCCATTCTGTTGAAGATGAGGTTTTAAATTTCATTTTAAAAGATGTTTTACCTTTTTCTCCTGCAGGTAGAAGGACAGAGCGTGAAGTCTGACACTGGCCTTCCTGCTGCTCTGATAACTAAAGAGAACAAAACTCTCTTTACTACATCCACATAAACAAATGTCTCTCAGTGGGGTGATTAAACAACTTTACACAATATACTGCCAACACAACCCAGAGATATAGTTTCATGTTAAATTAAACAACAATGGAGGAAGAAGATATATCAGTAACACTGTGGTCCTGTTTGCAGTATTAGTACCTGGTGCAGTTTAAGTTGGCATGCTCCTTGTTGCAGAGCCTTCGGATGACGTTCAGCACCTACAAAAAAACAAACTGTTCTGAGTGAACATTCACAGTTTCTAACACTGGAGGAAGAATTGTTCAGATCTTTTGTAGAAGTAAAGTTGTACCTCAAATGTGTACTTAAATGCTCGAGTAAATGTATTTAGTCATACTCCACCTCTGGTTCCTACAGTCTGTGTCACTTACTGAGTCATACTTCTCCTCTTCCTCAGCAGACAGCCGCCCCGCCAGCTGCAGACACATAACACACAGCATTAGAGGCAGTGACATTAGTCGCAATAGATTAATGGATGATGGATAAGTGAGGCACCTGTAGTAAAGATGTTGTAACGATGGCGCCTGGCTCAGTGAGTGGGCTGTGAGGGATTCCTGCAAACAGATATTTTAATCAAAGTGTTACTGCCCCCTGCTGCACAGGCCCAGAGGTCAGAGGAGACAGGAATAAAAACCCACTTTGTGTCTGTTGTTTTTGAATTTGGTAATTTTGTGTATGATAAACCTTTACAAATGCAGCAGTCTAACAAACCTCACTGCAGTTGACAAAACAATCTCCACAAGATTGGCTTGTAGTATTTTCACAGTGTGGTATTATTTGTACTTTTACTTAACCTGTTCAGAACCCATTTATGTTTTAAACACACACAAAAAGTATATATATATAATAGTGGCTTTCTACCCTAGAAAAGATATGTCTGTCAGAAAGGATCGGAATACTGGAGGTGAGGTGAGGTGAGGTATGGTGAGATATGGTGAGGTATGGTGAGGTAAAGTGAGTGAAGAATGGTGAGGTGAGGTGTGGTGAGGTGAGGTGTGGTGAGGTGTGGTGAGGTGAGGTGAGGTGAGGTGAGGTCATCTTCTTATGTCCCGCTAGGATGACTTATACTTACATTACAGTTTATTCACTTTGCAAGTACACCTTTACACCTGTCTACCATAAATATATATTATCTATTTCATATTTCATCCCTATATTTTAATGTCTGCACTATTTTATGTCGTAGATTTTCATTTTTACTCATGTTTTTTGTTTTTATATTTAATGAGCATTGTTGGCATTCTTTTATATTGCCAGTGACTACTTCCCTGTAATTGCTGTGCAGTTGTTGCAAAGAAGAACTTGAAATAATGTCAACTATTTGTTCTAAAATCTAAAATATCAGACAGAATTTGGGTGGGAGAAATATTAGAAATGTGATTTTGGACTCTGATTGTGGCAGTTTAGGTGAAAGCAGAGAGAAGATGTATGATCCTGGACCTGTTTTGGTGAGTGTGAACGGAGAGTCGTGTCTGGAGAACTCCTCCACGCCAACATATCGATGGACGAGGTCAGAGCCCAGCAGGTCCACCGCCACGCCGTACACCAGCGGCCATGACACCTCACCCAGAACCAGAGGGCCGGCCCAGTCACCCAGGGACAGCCTGACACACAGACAAACCAAACCCGTTCTTTTTGTCATATTTAGTGTGTATTAATTTTTCTCTCACAGCTAGTATTAACAAAAGGCTTTTATTTTGAAGAAACAAGAGGAAGTGATGCGCAGGTTTAACTCATTGTTACACAAACATTGGTCTACACTGAGATGCAAGTTACAAAATACGAGTTCCACTAATTTACAGGCAGTGGTGAGAAAGCATTCAGATCCTATACTTTAGTAAGAGTACTAATACCACATACTTTGCTACAACCATGGACTGTATATAAAGATGGATGACAAGACAGCTCCCCATAAGTGAAGCCAAAACTTAACAAAAAGATAAAGTACATGCCAAATAATTTTTTAGAAGAATCTGCATTGCATGTTGAAATAATGAATTATAAACAAAGCTGTTGAACTGTGGGATGGAAAGCCACTGTAATTTAACGACTGAGTTGGACGTACCTCTGTCCATCCACAGTGCAGATCGAGACGCCCCACTTTGTGCTGTCCACGTTGTCCTTCTCTTTGTCCTGATTCCACAAAAACAAAACAAGTAAAAAAGGCAATTTGGAAGCAAGTTTTATTCACCAGCAGCAACACAAATAATCTCCAGCTCTTTAAAATAAAATAATCAAAATATTTATTCCCACAGAAACTCACATAACACTGACTAAGAAGGTGAGAGTGTCTTCAGAAAGCAGCAACCTCCGGAGCTGAAAAATGAAACCAATGCACAAGTGCCAAAAACTGCAGTTCCTCTAATGACCACTTGAGGCTGGCTCAAAGAGCGAGTCCATCCTTACAGGTGTCCTGGCTAAAATACCCAACTTTACAGCAGAAATAAACATGTTTACAGCCTGATACAAAATATTGTTTTTGGTCTTAAAAGCTAATTTCAACATTCATGACAACTGTACAGGGGGTGAATCTTTATATAATTCACCCGTTTACATTTTATTAAGGCTTAAAGTTATGCATAATTAAGGGCAGGCCACATTGAGTGACTTTGAGTGTCTGTCTGTCGATAGTGGCCTCAGCTTCCTTAGTCAGATTCACCCTCTCGTCCAAATCTGGTCACTTCTGGCTCCCAAAAAACAAGATGGCAACAGCTGAAATGCTGAACTCGAGGCCTCAAAACAGAAGTCCAAAAACCAATGGGTGACATCACAGTGGCTAAGTCCATTATTCTCAAAGTCTATGGTCTTTACTGAGATTTTCTTTTTAAGGTTTCTACCACAAACCTGTGGTGAAGAAGACTCAGATGCCATACTTCAATAGAAGTTGTAATACCACAGTGTAGAAATATGTTGTCTCGTCCCTCAGCCTCTGAAGCTTTCTCATTAAAAGAAACTGAGTCAACAGTTACTGTGAAGTGCGTCGTGTCAGTGTAAGTGTGTGCGTTTCTTAGACCCATATGTGATGCAGCTGGTTGACAGGATGTGGCTGTCACTTCCACCTCTTACTAAACATCCTGCAGGAGACGAGCAGGAAACAGGCAGGAGAGTTTCAGTGGGAATAATCTCCACACACCGAGACACTTAAACACTGAGACACGAGGGTCGAGTACTGGGGCCTTTAAGTGATTTCATGTCACAACACAAGTCCCTCTCATGTGACCTCAGGGTGCAATTCAAACAAACTGTTCATCATTTATCAGGCTGTAAAATTAACTTATTTGTCCACTGGCCAGATGGCTTGTTACCAGCCAGGCATGTGGTTGATGCTAATTTTGTACCTTGCTATTTATTATATATGAACTCCAGCTGCAGCCTCAAACAATATTGGGCTAACAAACAGCAGCAGCAGAAGAAGAAGTACTCAGATCTTTTCCTTCAATAAAAGTAGCAATACCACAGTATGATACTTTATTACAAGTAAAATCCTGAATGAAAAATAATTCTTAAATAAAAGCATTAAAGTATTAAAATCAAAACATATTTAAAGTACCAAAAGTAAAAGTACACATGATGCAAAATAATATTTATCATATCATAATTATTGATGCTTTAATGTGTTACTTTCCACCACTGTTGAAAACCTTCAGGTAAAAAGTCAGCCTGTCTGAGTTTTGGGCTGTTTGCCGTCAGCTTTAAGTTCGTAAACTGATCTTAGAATCTAACAGGATGTTGGGGCAAGGGGATTAAAAAGAGCAGACATGGTGTCATATCAATGGGATACAACACATGTGCAGTGACACCTGGTCTGTAGTTGCCAAAAGAATCAATAGCTGGTGCACTAGAACACGGGATGATTGATTTGTTTGACTGACACATCCACAGTTGGCCTAGAGTCTGAATGTATTTCCTACAAAAATAAGATATGGTGAGAATTACAGTTCTGCAGTTATTGAAAAGATCCTTTATAAATGACCATAAATAAATGATCTCTTAAAATGCTCTATTGTATATCAGCTGCCGTCCATCTGAGTGTACCCAAGAAGTTCTGTCAGGCTGAGTGCACCTAAGGAGCACCTGAGTGGACACTATCCCTTCTTTTCAAGCGCCGTCTGTTGTAACCCTCTAACATCTCAGCTCCAGTTAAATTGCACATGTTTTATATTCCATAGCTCCCATGGGTCAAAGAGCCTGGAGCCTTGGTTGGAAGCTGGATGGGAGAACATCACTGCTGACCTCTGTTCTCCAGGTGTCAGAGCAGAACTCACCTGGACAGATGAGAGCTGACGACACCTCGAAAACAACTTCTGAGTTTCTTCAGTGAAAGTGGAAAAATCTGGGATGACGAATCGTCCCTGCAGAGCTTTCAGGATCAGAGAGACGAATCCTGTGACGCACCTGCAACAAAAAAAACACAACACAGAATTAAAACCAAAATCAGACCACGACCCAAAACAGCATCCTAAAGAATCCTGTGATGCTCAGCGAGCTGAAAAACAATAAAATCAGATCCAGAAACATAAACACGACTGGTCTAACTGTCAGACTTTAGTTGTAGATACAGCAGCATGTCGTCTGCAAAACATCAGAGGCAGATATACCATTTCTGAATGGTTTGGCTCAAATGTTGAATATGGGATTGGACACAGACAGAGTCCCTGGTTAACACTGAAGGAAGTTACTGCATGGAGGGAAATGAGGGTCTTGGGAAAGTTTTTCTGAAGGCATAAGTCTAGCTCTCGAGGAAAGGACAGACCTGTGGAAGGAGTTTCTGTCCACTGATCCTTCAGCATCCTGCAGTTTCCTCAGGTGGAAGAAACACTCTCTGAGTCGAGGGTCAGACCTGTGCAGCCCGGAGCTCCAGATGGCCTGACATTGAGGCAGAGAGACAAAAGTTCTGAACATGGGCAGAAATCTTACTAAAACACAGATGAGTTGAGTCCAGGTTTTATAAATGAATTAAAATGAATTGAAGTATCATTGCTGTAAAAGGTGCCACATGCACATTTAATGAGGTTACTTCCCCAAACAAGTCACAAACTGCTGCATGAAACTTCACCAGAATGCAGAAAATGAAGTGGTGACACTCCCTGTAAAGTATTATTTACTTCATATTATAAAGACTGAGAGTGATGTGTGACGTGGGGTTTTTCCTCCACTGCATCTAATATCAGTAAATGAGTAAAAATACCTCAAAGAACTGGTTGATGTTTATTCTTCCATCTGAGGCGAAACTGTCGAACAGCACATCAGCAGCCCTGAAACCACAGAGGAGCTACATCAGGAGGGACGACGGGTGTAGCTGACAGCTGACGGTGGTGGGAGTGACCTGAAGACTTACGCTCTGCGTTTGGACGGACTCTGCTGGGGAGGGAACCAGGGCTGAGAGGGGGGGAAGCCTCTGTCCTCCGGCTGGACCACTGCCTGGGGAAGAGGAGGCTTCAGGCAGCCGTTACTGGCTGACACTGGGAGCGGTGTACATAAAATTATAAAAAATGTCTTTTTACTATTGGGATGTAAAATATATGTTTATTTCTATATTGTGGTTAGTCATGTTAGTTGAGTTTGATTTTTTTTGTAGTTGTTTTTTGTGGATTCATGAAGAACATTGATTGCTGAAGCAGTAGAAAGTTTCAAAACACAAAAAAAGAGACGAGAGATCATCATGACAGCATAATGAGCTTCGCTGAAATGTTAAATTAACTCGTTTTTTGGAGAGAAATTTGCTAAACATTTTTTTGTGTCTGTGATCCATTTAAAGGAGAAGTGCAACTATTTTCCTTTGGTCCAAAGAAAAAAAAATCTAGACTAATCTTTTAAAAATAGTTACTTAAGTCCTCCAGATTAGGTTTTTAAGTTCTATAATGTTATATTAAAAATATATATATTTGATGGTGTTTATAAGAAGCTCTGAATGTTATTCTGCTACTAATAGCATAATATTTTACTTTGCAACAGAGTGGACGCCATACAGCAAATTAAAAATAAACAAAATTGCAAAGAGGCCAAAAAACCTTAGGTCTGAGGCTCCAGTTGTACCTGCAGATCCAGGACTGACAAGGTTGACGGGTTTCTGGACCGGACTCTGGACTGAAGTCTGGACCTGGTTCTGGATCAGGCTTCTGGGAGCTGGGCGGGGTGCTGTATCCTTCAAAACAACATAAAATCAACACAGAGATAAAATAAAGGTGAGGTTCAACATCCAGTTGCTTTTTTTTCAATACTATGGACAGTATGATACCTTGGAACAAGTTTAACACTGCATCCTTAATTCTGATTCATGCATTAATGTAAAAGCAAGATTTTACTGTTATAGTTGGTGGAGGTGGAGCTCATTTTGAACCAGTCACTAATGATTATTTTCATTATGGATTAATCTGCTGATAGCTTTCTCCAGTAATCAATTGACTGTTTGTAAAGATAGTGAAAATGGAGAGAAATGTTTGTCACAATGATCCAGAGCCCAAAGTGACATCATCCCAATGTTTGTTTGTTTAAGATCAACATAATTACTAATACACCACAATTATTAACATTATTCAAAGGAAAAGTTTATGAAGCTGGAACTATTAAATGTTGTTACAGGAAAAAGGACTTCAACCATCAAAGCACATTCACTTTAATTTTCAACCAGTCCTAACTGCTTAGTGGACTGATGGTTTCCCCTAGTTTAATTAATAACAAAACATCAGATTTTATAAACTCTTCATATGTTTTGTGTGTAAAAATCTAAATTTGTTAACTAATTAAAGCTGTCAGATAAATGTAGTGAAGTAGAAAGCAGCATGACAAGAAAATACTTTAGTACAAGTACTTTGTACATGTACTTAATTAAAACTGTACTTAGTGGCATTCCACCACTGTGGTGTTGTGAAAGTGTTTCACTGAAAAGAAAACCAAAGGTTTCTGTTCAGACAAAAGGAAAGCAGCTCTTTGATCTTTACAGCATGATAATGTGTGTGTGACATGTTGAGGCAGGTCTACCTGGTGCTCAGCGCTCCTCTGCTGGCTCTCATCTGTCATCCCTCCATCCTCTGCAAGAGGAGAAAAAAGGAGAGGAGAGGAGAGGAGAGGAGCTCCTTCAGTCTGCTGTTACTTTATTAAACTCTGGATGTTTGTGAGCTGATGACAGATCAGCAGGTGTGGTTTCTCTCATGTTAAAACAAAAGCCAGAAGATAATGTTACTGTGAATAATGCTGTGGTAACAAGGGTGGAGGTTACGAGGGGGGACACACATGAAATGGGAGATTTGGCAGTCCCCGCCAGAAAGCATCAAACAGTTCATTGTCTTCATTCTGGTGATTTCTTTTATGCACCAATTCGAGCCTTCTCTGCATCAAATTATGATGTAAATGTCTTTAATTTTGACAAAATAAAATTCCTCTGCTACTTTCATGTTTTCATTGGGAGGGACAAATGTTCCTGCACCCCCTGTAATCTCCACCATTGTGTGGTGATGTAGAGGTGGAGTCTCCATACAGTCTATTAACCAGACAGCAACAAATAAAATCAGCCAAAAACAGAAACAGGAGGCCACAAACTGTTAATGTTACGGATTTATTTTGGTGAAGAACATGTTAAGACATGAATTCTAACATCTGTTAAAATTATAGATAGGCGGTGATAAGTGGTGCTGTAGCAAATCAAACTGGTATATTCAACACTACTTCCACGGAAAGAGAATAAACTCTATTAACTGATAAAGACCATGAGATGCAGCTGAAAGCTCAGGGGAAAAAACAGCTGTTGTTTAGGGAGGTACAAGTACGCTAATGTACTGGACCCAATCAAGCTTTGGTGACAGGAAAGTGCCTCACAGCAGGTTTCCATGACTGTGTGACTGAGGCATGATGTACAAAACAACACTTCAAAATACTTTGACTTGAACAGTTAGTTTTACGACTATAACTGCAACTCTTCAGCCCTTATATTTTAAAGTTACAACATTAAAACACATCAAAAACAAAAATGCCATCAAGTTCTGCCTCATGAGACACTTTCAGTTTCCAGACGAGGCATAAATCTCATTTTCTAGCTGCTGAGTGCAGCTGAGCAGAAACACATAATGAATTACAATGGACAAAAAATGTAATGAAAAAAAATCCCTTTAACAATGTAAACATCAATAAACAACTCAGTTTTACCAGTTGTTCAAATACAAATAAACGTTGGTACTGTAACTTTACACATGCAACATTATTATGTTTTTTTGTTTTGTTTGTTTTTTTTTAATTAACAAAGGATGAACACATTGATGTGACCTAAAAATGGAGTGTAAAAGCCTGTGGACTGATTTCCACATAGCCTACCCACGATGAATTTTGCGCCACAACAGCTCTAAGCGTCCAACACTGGCTAACATTAGCTAGGAAATTAAGTCAGGCAGCTAATGGTGTGCAACAACAGCTAACGTTATCTTAGATATCAGTTTCACTATTTTCGTTTTAGCTAGCTAAAATTAACAAAGGTTGGCTTAATTGCTAATGGTGACGAGTTGCTAGCTAGCTAACTTTGCAAAATACTCTCTTTGGGTGAATAAAAACTCGTTCATCCAGACTCCAGGAATTATTTGACTGGTAAATTGGGTATCTTGTCATTGGTAAATTACTTTATCAGCTAATGTTATAAAGCAACCAATGCCATCAACACAGCGTAGCCAAATTACATCTAGCTGACTAACCTTAACCTTTCTCACTTACTGTTTAACATTATTGCAAACAAAATCTCAATGTATGCCTATATGATAGTCAGCTGGGTTGCCAAATAACAATTATAAAACCCTCAGTGGGAGAATCACAGTTTTTATAAATGGAAACAGTCTCTCAGTGAACGTGTGTGTGAAGGTGTGTATGTGTGTGTTAGTATCAGGATCAAAGAATGACAGTTTTCCTCTGTCCCAGTCCAGATTCACTCTGATTCTCTGGAACTGCTGCCACGTTACAAGAACAGTTTCTGGATCTGGTGGGGAGAACACTCTGTATTTCTCTCCACAGAACCGTATTGTCCATAATCCAGACTGTATTGGTTCCTTCCTCTGGACGGACTCTGCTAACACACCCAGTGACCAGCCTTTACTGTATCCAACGTCGACATCCCAGCTGTGAGTCCCTGAGTTAAAGCCCTCAGCACCCAGGACAGACCAGTATTTTATTCTCTCTGGATTATCGGGAAGCTGCTGTTTCTGTCCTGGTGTCACACTGGTCAGATCTTCAGACAGCGTTAGACATGAATCAGCAGTGTTTGGGTCCAGAATCACAGGAGTGTAGGAGACCACGTCCTTCATCTTGTTCCAGATGTTGAAGGTCAGGTTGCCCAGGTGTTTGGCCTCGTCTATCAGAGCTCCTGAGGGCAGCTGTGGATCATCCAGCAGGGGGCTCTGCTGGACTCTGTCCACTGCAGCCTTGTAGTTGAGCAGGAATGAGACGTCTTCAGCTCTCAGCTCGTCCTCTGTGGCTCTGACTGTGTCTGAAAGAGCTGCTATCTCTCTGCTCAGAGCTTCCATCTTCTCCTTCATCATCTGACTCTTCTGCTCCTCTTCCTCCTTCAGTGCAGCCATCCTGGCCTCCTCTTTCTCCTCTAGGAACTGGTGAAGCTTCTTAAACTGCTCCTTAATCTGCCTCTCTGTGCGTCGGGCCTGGACCTGAATGTGTTCTGCTGTTTGATCACATTCCTCCTTAACATGTTCAGAAAACTTTAATTTCTCCTTTAAAGACTCCAGAGTTTCCTGAAGTTCCTCCTTGTGTTGTCGTGCTGCTTCATCAATGGTTTTGAATCTGTGGTTGGTGTGTTTATCTGAATCTCTGCAGACGAGACACACCGGCTGCTGATGGTCCAGACAGAAGAGTTTGAGTTTCTCAGAGTGCAGACTGCAGAGAGCCCCTGAGGCTTTCTGATCTCTCTCCTGTAACAAACTCTCACACAGGTTCCTTAACACCAGGTTTAAAGGTGGATCTGGCTTTGAAGATCTTCTGTTACAGAGTGGACACTCGCGTGTTCGTTTCTCTCTCCACCACCTCTGCAGACAGTCTCTACAGAAGCTGTGGCTACATGACAGGACAACAGGATTATTAAACACTTCCTGACAGACAGAACAGCAGAAATCTTTTTCCAGTTTTGAAGCCATTTTGTCTCTGAGTGAGGCTGAAATCACAGCAGGCAGACAGTTCAGCCACTCCCTGTTTCCTGAAATTTAGTTTCACTTTGAGTCTTCGCTCTTGTAAAACTTCTGTTCAGCGTGTGAAGTCAGCAGCTGGTGGAAGTGGCAATATTCCAGTATCCCCTGTATTCCCTCATGTAGATGTCCTCTCTCTGGGGAAGTAGTGGTTTGGGGATGTAGGTGAATCTTATCGTCCATGTCTCAGAACGTGTATTGTCCCAATGACCTTATTTTCTCCCAGAGTATTCCCCCAGTTCAGCCCTACTGTGCTGTGATTGGTCATTTTCCTTTTCCTTCTTTTTTTTCTTTTAATTTCCACTAAGTCCGTCTGGCAATACTTGCTTCTATGGAAGACCATTTGAGCCAATGCGATGAAAATAAAAGATCCTTATAATGAGAACCATCTCAAAATAATAAACTTTTTCAAAATATTGACTTCATATCTCAAAATAATGAAGAACATACTCATTACTATTACTAATACTACTATACTCTACTCCACTGGTTCCCAACTGGTGGGTCGCAGTCCAAAAGTAGGTCATGGGTCCATTCTGAATGGACTGCAAGTGACTCGTGGATGTATCAGGTTTGCAATAAATACACTGTATTTTCAGTACAGTGAATTTCCAGCACAGAGCTTTTATTTTGAAGTGCCGTTTCCTGTGGTTCAACAACTTGAGGAAACTGGACAAGCAGCTAAACCCATGTGAAGCAAGATAACTAGATGATGACCAGTGTGGTCATGCAATGTTAAACAGTGGCCATTCACTATGCCAGCAAGCCAGCGTCACTTTCACCCCTATCTACCTTATTTCTAAGGGCACTAATGTAGAAATTATTATGGATGCAACTTCCAGTGAGATAGCAGAAGACATTGTAAGCTAGTCAGCCACATAGACTATCTATGGTTAGTGCCAGTTGCTTATCTTGGTGGCTAGCTCCCAACGGCGACTCTTTTGGATGGCAATTCACCTTAAATTTAGTAAATGCTGCTTCTTCTTTTTTTGGTAACACTTTCTATGAGGACCACATCTATACTGTGTCATGAGGGCATCCATAGTGAATTATACTACATTCATAAACACAAATAATGATGTGCTATATCAACAGTCATAAAACATCATAGATGTGACTTTTAATGAATTATAAATGTCAAGTGTCTTATGGATGCTCTTGAGTAGTTATAAAGTAGAGGTTGACTGATGGGGCTTATAATGCATCATGACTACATACTCACCTAAACACACCTCAACAATCAACTGTATTAAGGACTCATAGTATGCTGTATAGCCCATGCAGTATCATACGCTATCATTGTATGTTTTGATGCGTCTATAATAATGCATGCTTCATCACAATGTTTAATTGTTGATGCTACGTGAAGTGTGATGGATTTTCATGTATCTATGCTGCTTCATAAATGATAAATATAAATATCTACCATTCACTAGAATACTTTGAAAATACTTTGAAAAGACTAAAGTCTGACACCCTGTCACAACTTAGGACAATGTGTCATGAGTCAGAGAGTTTTTAGTTATTTATTAGCTTCAAAAAGGAAAAAAAAAAAGGCGGACAGAAAATGGTGCAGCCCACGAAAGTCTCAATGAGTATACTATATGCTATAGTTAGCTAGCCAGCTATCTAGTCAGCTAACCACTGTCCTCATTTATAACAGGGTTACTTGTAAGCTAACGTTGATACCCCCTGACGTTACAGGACGGCTTTTTCAGTCTGTGTTTGACACTGGAAGTCACTGACCAAGCACCTACAGTACAGGCCAAAAGTTTGGACACACCTTCTCATTCAATGTGTTTTCTTTATTTTCATGACTATTTACATTGTAGATTCTCACTGAAGGCATCAAAACTATGAATGAACACATGTGGAGTTATGTACTTAACAAAAAAAAGGTGAAATAACTGAAAACATGTTTTATATTCTAGTTTCTTCAAAATAGCCACCCTTTGCTCTGATTACTGCTTTGCACATTCTTGGCATTCTCTCCATGAGCTTCAAGAGGTAGTCACCTGAAATGGTTTTCCAACAGTCTTGAAGGAGTTCCCAGAGGTGTTTAGCACTTGTTGGCCCCTTTGCCTTCACTCTGCGGTCCAGCTCACCCCAAACCATCTGGATTGGGTTCAGGTCCGGTGACTGTGGAGGCCAGGTCATCTGCCGCAGCACTCCATCACTCTCCTTCTTGGTCAAATAGCCCTTACACAGCCTGGAGGTGTGTTTGGGGTCATTGTCCTGTTGAAAAATAAATGATCGTCCAACTAAACGCAAACCGGATGGGATGGCATGTCGCTGCAGGATGCTGTGGTAGCCATGCTGGTTCAGTGTGCCTTCAATTTTGAATAAATCCCCAACAGTGTCACCAGCAAAACACCCCCACACCATCACACCTCCTCCTCCATGCTTCACAGTGGGAACCAGGCATGTGGAATCCATCCGTTCACCTTTTCTGCGTCTCACAAAGACACGGCGGTTGGAACCAAAGATCTCAAATTTGGACTCATCAGACCAAAGCACAGATTTCCACTGGTCTAATGTCCATTCCTTGTGTTTCTTGGCCCAAACAAATCTCTTCTGCTTGTTGCCTCTCCTTAGCAGTGGTTTCCTAGCAGCTATTTGACCATGAAGGCCTGATTGGCGCAGTCTCCTCTTAACAGTTGTTCTAGAGATGGGTCTGCTGCTAGAACTCTGTGTGGCATTCATCTGGTCTCTGATCTGAGCTGCTGTTAACTTGCGATTTCTGAGGCTGGTGACTCGGATGAACTTATCCTCAGAAGCAGAGGTGACTCTTGGTCTTCCTTTCCTGGGTCGGTCCTCATGTGTGCCAGTTTCGTTGTAGCGCTTGATGGTTTTTGCGACTCCACTTGGGGACACATTTAAAGTTTTTGCAATTTTCCGGACTGACTGACCTTCATTTCTTAAAGTAATGATGGCCACTCGTTTTTCTTTAGTTAGCTGATTGGTTCTTGCCATAATATGAATTTTAACAGTTGTCCAATAGGGCTGTCGGCTGTGTATTAACCTGACTTCTGCACAACACAACTGATGGTCCCAACCCCATTGATAAAGCAAGAAATTCCACTAATTAACCCTGATAAGGCACACCTGTGAAGTGGAAACCATTTCAGGTGACTACCTCTTGAAGCTCATGGAGAGAATGCCAAGAGTGTGCAAAGCAGTAATCAGAGCAAAGGGTGGCTATTTTGAAGAAACTAGAATATAAAACATGTTTTCAGTTATTTCACCTTTTTTTGTTAAGTACATAACTCCACATGTGTTCATTCATAGTTTTGATGCCTTCAGTGAGAATCTACAATGTAAATAGTCATGAAAATAAAGAAAACGCATTGAATGAGAAGGTGTGTTCAAACTTTTGGCCTGTACTGTATATACGACGACTTCAGAGTGAGACCAGGTTGACTAAGTCTTGTTATAATCTCATTACTTACAAGGTGATCCATGTCTTCATGTATAACGAATAAGGTAAATGAATAAAGTGGATTATTGCTACATGTAGCTTCATATTTATTCACTACAACATCGCGTAGTAGGAGGATGGGGGGTGGTTCTAAGAGATCCTCTAAATATAGAATTCTATCATTTTTCCTAAGTCGATGGTCATGTGTGTTTTTTGTGGGTTGGACTCAGTGAACCTAAAATCAGACTGAGCTGTAATATCTTGGGGTTATGACACTTTAGTAAATCCCAGATTTAGATACTGTAAATACCAAACCCAGAAACTAGCATAGATTCCCTACCACAGGGGGAAGGTTACACACAGAAATGTTGTCCTCAATGGATACTGTATACTACTCTGTCTTTGTCTTGATTATGTGGTGCATTCACACGAGAGGTTTTCAAAAAAAATGATATCAGAATATCTTCGTATGCAAAATAAAATATACTGGGTACAACAGGGATGATGATACATCAAAATATCAAATCTTCTATTTCTGTTCAACTCTTGCTCAGATCTTTGTCTCTTTTAATTGTCAGTCTGGTTAACCGCACAGAGAAGTCCTCTCACACATCTCACTGGACCCAATCAAGCTCTGTGGCAGCAGATTACATAGCTGTGAATGACACTGTATGTTTTATAGTAGATATATAGAAATAGAAATAGTTGAAATAGCTGAGAAACAGTGCAGAACAGCGGTTTGCTTCAGTTAGTGTACGGATCACATTCTGGGAAAATAAAGGTAGAAAAATAGATTGAGAGGTGGAGTCATGGACTGTCGCTGCAGCCAGTCAGCCACTCTGTGGTGATGACCGGGCAGCAGCTTCATTTAGATACCAGCAGACTCCACAGACCACTAATCACAGGGTGTTGCGCACACGCACACACACACACACACACACACACACACACACACACAAACCTTTCATGTCCGGGTCTTTATTGGGCTCCAGCAGTTTGTTGCCATCCAGACCGCCGTAACGTTTCCTCCATTTACGTCTGAGAGAAGGAGTTCTCTGGAAACTGCAAACAGAACAAGTGAAAAATAAAAACATCTGCAAACATAATAATAATATGAGAGTGATCAAACTGCTCAATACATTGGGTAATTAGCAGTAAGCGTCATACACCAAAGTACTGGACACATTAAAATGTTTACCTGATGATGGTGCAAGATTAAAAGTCAGAGGATATGACAGTAATATATATAATAATAACAATCAAAAATATTACCACTCCTGCTGCTACCACTTACAACAGAAATTTAAGCTACCCCAAATTAAAGGCCTTCTGCTCTTACTACTTCTTACTCCACTACTACAGCCAGTAAGCTACTGCAACTTCAGCTTTGACTAATAGGCTACTTCTGTTTTTCATATGTTTATTTAGGTACAACTTTCAGGCAGCTAATGTTTATTTGCATTATGAATTAACCAGCAGATGTATTTATTAATTAAAGGGTTTGTGTACTTTCTGAAAGTCCTTGTTATTAATGACACTGAACTGCAGTGAGCATCCTGTTGCTTGCACTTCGGAGTAATGAGCAAGCACCTGGGCCACTTCTGAATTCTGAAGATTTTATGAGTCTTAAAAAATAAAGTTGCTAACAAGCAGCTAAGTGAGACTGCAGAGAGTCAACACACTGAACACAGCTTTAAAGCCTCGTTATGGTGGCAACGGTAAGTCATGTGACCGTGGTGTAGTTTGTTTATAGCCTGACGTTAGCTTTTTACTTCTGGCGATTGCATTGACGCTTCAAAAATCATAAAAGTGGTGCTCATTTCTGAAGATTATCTTGCTGAACAAGTATCATAAACTTTGTCTGTCACAGCACTTATTTTCTGCAACAATTCAAAATCCAATGGTAAAATCCCATTGGCTTTTTGATGCAACCTGGGCTCACTCCAAAGTTGTCGAAATCTGGTGCTTGGGCAGTGACATCCGGCGTCAGACACTGACGAAATAAGCTGCCCTTTAACATCGGAATGATACGCATCCAGTCGCTGTTATAGTTTAATGGCGCTTGGCAGCATCACGGGGAATCGCAGCGGGACAAGAACAAATGTAAAGGCAGCGAAAGTCCAACTTCAGCAGGTGGGAGTGGTGGTGGATGGTTCCAACAATCACTGACTTTCACCAGGGAGAACATTGTTCACATTCCATGAGATTCTAAACCTAAACCTAACAACATGTGTGAGTTTTTGGAGAGAAAAAAACTCAATTCATGCTGTTGTACTGACGTAGTGCTTTTATTTTGAAAGAGACTGTATGGAAATGGTAAATTTCCTGTGAAAAGGGAAGCGTATTTTGAAAGACAACAATCCATGTAACAGGCAGAACTTGACACGGCATCCCAGAGCGTCAACAACCAACACACCCAGGGTACCTTACATATCGTATCTGGACGTGGAAAGTCCATGAGCAAATGTCGATATGCGAGAAAGTTGGATTGAGAATGTGTTGTTTGATGGGTGAACCAGGGTGATGCTAAAGTCCACATCAGCCTACAGAAAAAACGTCATCACTGCAGCATCAATCCAGAGGCTTTTTAAGTTATGTTACAGTCTGCTCACCCATTGGTGATAAAAAGCATTTAATACATGCACAAAGTGACGTACAGAACCTTTAATGTATTAACGAGTTGGTCTATTAATAGCTGGAAAATACAGAAAAAGATCTATCACTTATACCGGGGTTCAGTTAAGTAAATGTAGTGACACAGTGTAAAAATATTTTATTGCAAATAAAAGTCCTGCATTCAAACTATAATAAGGTTAAAGTACAAATGTGTGAGCACTGAGTACCAAAAATAAAAGTGGTTATTATGCAGAATGGCCTATTTCAGAATAATATTATATTCGTATTGATGCATTAATCTGTTCATCACTTCAGTTTTGCAGCTGGTAAAGGTGGAGCTCATTAGCCTAACTTATATAATGCTGGGTAGTTTAACCTATCATAATACATCGGAATTTATTAGTTCATTATTTTTGCATTAATTGTCTAAATCTGTTAAGTAACTAATGGCAGATAAATGTAGTGCAGTAAAAAGTACATTTAGCTCTGAGACATAGTGTAGTATAATTATAAAGTAGCAGAAAATGGAAATACTTTTAACTTATTAGCAGAAGTTCAGCAGGGCTGCAGATGTTTAAGACCAACGTCTCCTCTCTGCTTGTGAGTTCAGTTGCTGCATGCACTGACTGAGACTGCTGACCTCTGTCCCTGCAGCCACCTACAACAACCAGTAAGCTGAAGTGGGACCAGCACATTTCAGCCCAGATGAGGAGGTTTAACCAGCAGGTCTGTGCTCTGTAACACAGCTGCTGTCCTCTCTATTCATGTCGTTTCTGCCACGTCTCAGCCTGTCCCTCACCAACACAGCAGGAATGTAAACCTGGACTGTTTCCAGCTTTATGGCAGCTTCACTACATGGAAAAAGTCTGAACATTGTGCAGGAGCAGACTCCAGAGCAGATGGAGTAAAACTACAAACACCGAAAAACACCAAGTCACTAAATCTGTCTCACCACAGGTAAGAGCCGTCCTCTGCCTCCTGGTTCTCCATTGAAGCCTTCAGGTGTGTTCCTCCACTTCGTCTCTGTTTTCATGTAAGACGAGGGAAGCGGCGGGCTCCCTCAGTGAGTGTGTCTGCAGGCTATAAACTTTTTTTAATGAATGGGATGGTTTGGAGAGGAGGGGAAACCAGTCAGCGCCTGCAGACACTCCCAGTTGCCACACACACTTAAACAACAGCTAAAAAACATAAAAAGGAAGACAGAGTCAGATTAAAACAAAAACATGTGCAACCACAGCAAAAACTATAAAACATGCGGAACAACCCAAACACAAAGAAGATGTTTCAGATTTGATGAATTCACTGACATGAAATAACAAAGAATAGACAAAATAAGGCTTCCAATGACACCAGAATGAGAGACTTATAAATGATTTATAAGAACATAAACTTGGCATGAGAATTAAAGGGTCACTTCTCCCAAATTATAAGAAAAACACATTTTACCTCTGCTTGTTCAGTTCAAGTTATTTAAAGTCATCTGCACAACAATTAAAGAGAAGGACTGACTGGCAGTAAAAATCATCTCATAAGATCTCAGGCTCGTTCCAACATTGCTCCATAAATATGGATAAAAAAAATGTGACAACTAAAAACTGAGAATCTAAAAAACAACATTGTGCAGAGATGGAAGAGATGAAATATAACATACACAAAACATAAAACAAAATAATGTTATTTGTTGTAGACATGTGTACCAAAAAGAGAGACTTATTAATGATTCATAAGGATATAAATGTGGCATGTTTTGAGGTACATGTCATAAAACTGAAAATTAAAGGGGCACTTATGCCAAATTATATACAGTACAGGCCAAAAGTTTGGACACACCTTCTCATTCAATGCGTTTTCTTTATTTTCATGACTATTTACATTGTAGATTCTCACTGAAGGCATCAAAACTATGAATGAACACATGTGGAGTTATGTACTTAACAAAAAAAAGGTGAAATAACTGAAAACATGTTTTATATTCTAGTTTCTTCAAAATAGCCACCCTTTGCTCTGATTACTGCTTTGCACACTCTTGGCATTCTCTCCATGAGCTTCAAGAGGTAGTCACCTGAAATGGTTTCCACTTCACAGGTGTGCCTTATCAGGGTTAATTAGTGGAATTTCTTGCTTTATCAATGGGGTTGGGACCATCAGTTGTGTTGTGCAGAAGTCAGGTTAATACACAGCCGACAGCCCTATTGGACAACTGTTAAAATTCATATTATGGCAAGAACCAATCAGCTTACTAAAGAAAAATGAGTGGCCATCATTACTTTAAGAAATGAAGGTCAGTCAGTCCGGAAAATTGCAAAAACTTTACATGTGTCACCAAGCGGAGTCGCAAAAACCATCAAGCGCTACAACGAAACTGGCACACATGAGGACCGACCCAGGAAAGGAAGACCAAGAGTCACCTCTGCTTCTGAGGATAAGTTCATCCGAGTCACCAGCCTCAGAAATCACAAGTTAACAGCAGCTCAGATCAGAGACCAGATGAATGCCACACAGAGTTCTAGCAGCAGACCCATCTCTAGAACAACTGTTAAGAGGAGACTGCGCGAATCAGGCCTTCATGGTCAAATAGCTGCTAGGAAACCACTGCTAAGGAGAGGCAACAAGCAGAAGAGATTTGTTTGGGCCAAGAAACACAAGGAATGGACATTAGACCAGTGGAAATCTGTGCTTTGGTCTGATGAGTCCAAATTTGAGATCTTTGGTTCCAACCGCCGTGTCTTTGTGAGACGCAGAAAAGGTGAACGGATGGATTCCACATGCCTGGTTCCCACTGTGAAGCATGGAGGAGGAGGTGTGATGGTGTGGGGGTGTTTTGCTGGTGACACTGTTGGGGATTTATTCAAAATTGAAGGCACACTGAACCAGCATGGCTACCACAGCATCCTGCAGCGACATGCCATCCCATCCGGTTTGCGTTTAGTTGGACGATCATTTATTTTTCAACAGGACAATGACCCCAAACACACCTCCAGGCTGTGTAAGGGCTATTTGACCAAGAAGGAGAGTGATGGAGTGCTGCGGCAGATGACCTGGCCTCCACAGTCACCGGACCTGAACCCAATCGAGATGGTTTGGGGTGAGCTGGACCGCAGAGTGAAGGCAAAGGGGCCAACAAGTGCTAAACACCTCTGGGAACTTCTTCAAGACTGTTGGAAAACCATTTCAGGTGACTACCTCTTGAAGCTCATGGAGAGAATGCCAAGAGTGTGCAAAGCAGTAATCAGAGCAAAGGGTGGCTATTTTGAAGAAACTAGAATATAAAACATGTTTTCAGTTATTTCACCTTTTTTTGTTAAGTACATAACTCCACATGTGTTCATTCATAGTTTTGATGCCTTCAGTGAGAATCTACAATGTAAATAGTCATGAAAATAAAGAAAACGCATTGAATGAGAAGGTGTGTCCAAACTTTTGGCCTGTACTGTATATAAAACAACAACAACACATTCTTACTTAACTCTGATGCCTTGTAGTCATGCTGATATTTTTTGAGATGTGAGCATCTGTCTTTTAGATTTCTGCCATGCTGATATTTTTTGAGATGTGAATGAAATTTGATTAAGTGCCCTCACAGCTTTAAAAGATGTATTTAAATTATTAAACAGCAACAACAGCAAGGATTCAAGAAATTTCTCTGCCTTTAGAGAAGACACATAAGATAAGATAAGATAGTTTTCAGTTCTGCATAATTAATAAAATATTAACTGAGATATTTGTGCCTAATATCACTCTTATTATTATGTAAAAGTATGACAAAAACTCATAAGCCTTTACTTATATTATTTGAGGCATTAGATGTAGTTAAATATTTTCAGTGAATGTTTTAAGTCTTTATTTTACTTTGCCGAAGTCGATGACATGACTGTCGATATATTTAGAAAGAAATTAGTGTGACAAATTTATGGAAAATATTTTTGAATAAATTCTTTGTATTTCTGTATTTTTTTTATGTTTCTACATAATTTTATATTTTTAGGCATTCCAACTGAAAATTAACAACAACAACAACAACAAAAAACCCGGAAGTTTATATTTTGAAAAGCGGAAGTCTCAATGTTTACATGGTTAGCATTTCTGTTCCCTGTCTAAGCTAACAGCTCACAAGCTAACAGTTAACACGCAGGTGGATGTTTTCCCGGTCAGGTTTATCTATAATTCTTATACGGTTATCTGAATCTGTTCAGTCGTTCAAAGCTGTGACGTTAAACCGTTTATCTGACATCGTCCCGGTGCTCAGCCGCCCGTTAACCGTCCTCTCCCGGTGCAGACTGCCTCCTCTGCCCGGTGCTCACCGGTTAGCAAGTTCCTCCAGAAACAGACCAATGCCCAAAAAAGAGAAAGCGGTGAGTTGTTAGAGATGACACTGTTAACACAGATCACCTCGACACTTTAATTCATTTATTTTCTCATCTGTTGCTACATGTTACACACGCTGTTAACCAGTGGTGGATGAGTACGTTTATCTAACTATGATACTGTGGGCCTGCGTAAGTTGTACTGTACTTGAGTATTTCCATCTTCTGTTACTTTATATTTATAACGTTACTCCACTACATCTCAGAGGGAACTACTCAGATCTGTTACCTAAGTGAAAGTAGTATTACCACACTGTTTAATACAAGAAAAAGTCCTGCATGAAAAACTTCACTTAAGTAAAAGTGCAAAAGTAGAACAATAACATATCATTGCACTATAATTTCTGATTAATTAGTGTGTTTATCACTGAAATGTGGAGCTCATTTTTTATAATGTATATAGACCAGAAGTTATTCATTAGTATAAATGTTGCATGTGGCCAAGGTGCAGCTGTTTCTGTAAGTGTAACTATAAATGTTAAGTGTCACAGCATTGGAACAGCTTCAGATCTGTTCTCAGGAAAAGTGCTCAAGTAAACCTGCTTTGAATTCCTCAGACTATAGCTACTGATCTATCAGCCAAAACAACTCATAGGTGAAGTGAATAACATCAATCATCTCCTTACAGTGCAGTCTTTTGCTGGGAAACTGTGGGTCCTGACATTCATGTGGATGCCACTTGTAACGCACCCGTCCTGGGAAATGGCATAGAGGTCCTGACAGGTCAGAGGCCCCTACCGTGGATTGGATTTGAGTCTGACCTGTCAAGGCATGGACACAGGACCTCTGGGTGTGTTCTTTAGTGTCAGGCACCAGGGCATTGGCGGTGGGGTGGGGTACCGGCACGTGCCAGGGATGCTTGATCAGATTGGCATCTGCGGAAGGTCGATGCCTTGAGGTCTTTGTGACTTTCCTCAGTCCTGAGCAGCTTTTGCCTTGTGGCATGGTGCTGTGTCCTGAGGGGAAGCCACCGCCATCATGGACAGACGTTGCCATGATGTTGGGTACTTGGGTCTGTAACAGTGTTTTGGTGGGTGGTGCGTGTCAAGTGGCATCCAGATGAATGCCAGGACCCATTGTTTCCCAGCAGAACACTGCATTGCAACAAGATGATCAATGTTATTAACTTCATCTGTCAGTGATTTTAAAGTTGCAGCCGATCAGCGCAGTTCAGTATCTGTATCGGGGTATATACTACAACTAACCCTCCATACTGTTAAACCACCAGGTGAAAGGACGGCCGGCTGCCAGTGTAGCAGCAGAGGCAGAAGCTTCCTGTCCAGTGGCTCGAGACAAAAGTGGAGCCGTCACCATAACGGTGCACGCCAAGCCCGGCTCTAAACACAGCGGCATCACAGGTCACCTTCATACTATGTATAACAATAAAGCTGCTGTTGTGATCACCTAGATGACAACATTTTTGTTCTTCTACTCTTGCAGAGGTTTCTGCGGAGGCGGTGGGAGTTGCCATCGCAGCCCCTCCAACAGACGGAGAAGCGAACACTGAGCTTATACGCTTCCTGGCTGAAGTTCTGGAGCTGAAGAAAAGTCACATCTCTCTTGACAAGGTTACTGAAACTTATTAACACTCACAAGAGGCAGTTTTTGATCTCATGGTGTATAAGCTGTGTTCAGACTGAAGGTGAGGGAGATTCTAAATGGAGCATGAGTGAATGAACAGACACACAGATTCAGTCAGTACATTTACATGACATTAGAAAAAATCGATTTATTGTGTCATTCAGACTAAAACCAGACTTTTAAAATACATTTAAACTTGTTAGTCTGACTGAAACTGTACTAAATTGACTCCCTCCCCTTCTTTATCCCATTTTTTTAATGTCTTTTTTGTCAGCTGCTTTACCTCATGTGTCCTACCACTTTTATCCATCCTCCTTTACAGCATGTATCCTGCCTTGTTTTACCTCCTTTTTCCTGCCTCTCGTAGGGCTCCAGGTCCAGAGACAAACTCATCAGAGTGGACTCCTCTCTTAGTCCGGAGGAGGTGTTGAGGAGGCTTAGACAGGCTGCAGGCTGACAGGAGGGACGGGGGAGGTGAATGGAGGCTGACACATGCTGCAGGGCCACACACAGGAGGACAGAGGATGGAGGAGGTTCTTATCTCGTTCATTTCACCTGCAAAACAATGTGAAGAGTTTCAGTGTAAAAACAAATTTATGGAAATTAAAAATAATACAGGACCTGTATGTCTTATTTCATTTTCTTTTATCACATTCACATAAGCCTTCACAGCTGGACCAGTATGGCTACTGGGAAACCTGGAGAAAGCACAACATCACCATGGAAATAGACTGATCCACCAGTGAGCAGGAAGCGTTTCCAGTGCTGGAGAGATGTGACTGGATATGATGTTTATATGTTGAGATGTCTGGAATGACTCATGTTTGTGATATTTATTTAAATGACTTGGCTTTAAATAAACAGACTGTGAATCTGTGTGATTAAATCTTGACATTAATATTTTATCAAAGACAAGCAGCCGTAACCAAGCAGTAGATGGCGCTGTGTCACTGGCTTCACTCTGGTTTATACACTGATCAGCCAAAACATAAAGCTACTGACAGGTGAAGTGAATAACATGTCATTACAATCCAGTGTTCTGCTGGGAAAATCTTGGCATTCATATGGATGCCACCTGATGTGCTCCACCCAAACGCTCAAGTGCTTCCCCTCACATGGCAACCACACTCCCTGTGCCACACAATCAGCTTAGTAATGACCTGAGGAACTTGACAAAAAGCTCAAGGTGTCGACCTGGCCTCCAAATTTTCTAACTTTTCCCAATCTGATGGAGCATCCGTGGGATGTGCTGGCACCACACTCAACTCAACTTTAGTTATATAGCCCTTTAAATCAGCCACAGCTGAAACAAAGTGCTGTACATAAATAGACAAAGCAACACAGGGACATAAAACAATTAACAGGAAATAAACACTAAAATAATTGTTTATTGTTTTTAAAACAATTTAAAAACAATAAAACAATTTTAAAACAATAAATAAAACAAACCATAAAACACAAACAGAAGCAGAGTCTCATGTGGAGTTGAAAGCCAAGGAATAAAAATGGGTTTTTAGACAGGTTTTAAAAACCCACAGGACTCAGGATATGCCACTAATGCTCTGGTGCCATAAAACTACTAGACGCTCCCAGAGTCCATGCCTCGACAGGTCAGAGCCAAATCCGATCCAAGGAGGGCCCACCATGGATCGGGGCACCAGCATGTCCCACAAATGCTCAATCAGACTGGGATCTGGGGAGTTTGGAGGCCAGGTTGATGCCTTAAGCTCTGTCACGTTCCTTGGGCCTCTCCTGTGCAGCTCATACTTGGTCTCCACCAGTGTTTGGGTGGGTGGAGCGCATCAAGTGGCAAAGTTAGAGCCAATTAATGTTTTTTTTTATCCCACAAACAACTAACAAAACATCAACATTGATGCAGATTAATTTTATGTTTATTCTCTAATCAATTATTAGAATATTGTTTAAGCTCTAGTAATAATATACTAATTATTGGACTTTTTCTTATAAACAATAATCATTCATGTTGGCTAAAATGTGGCCAATGACCAGGCCCAAATGGAATCTGTGAATTTTTTAATTGTTGTCAGTTTTTTGTTTGGATTTTGTGACAATCACAATATTCAATTCATTCAATTGTTTTTGATCACAAATAACCTCGCACAGTACATTAAAACCTAAAATTACCTCAAGCAGGTGAAAAGAACAATTTAGTAGCTACTAAATACTTCAATAAAACAAATTAAGTATTTGTTGGAGAAGTCAATCAACAAAATGTGGGACACATGGCCATTAAAATGGAAGGTTCAATGTGGAGCAGAGAGAACAAAAAATACTTTGCTAATCTCTTGACAGTAAATCTTATTTTTGACATTTCTTCTCACTACATTACTAACTTTGATTTCAATGCTGACTGAATACAACACGTCTGTCACACACGTGCACAAGGAGTCTGTGGCGCAGATTCCATACGGGCCTGCTAATGAACACACTGTATGAGTTTCCTATAAAAGAAAATGAGTTAATTAAACATCCTAGATGGAGGTTGGTGGGGTGTATGAAGAGGCAGCACGTGCATACTATATTCATGGACTTACCTGACAGAAGCCTCCCACTCAGGGCTTCAGGCTTCAGGGCCACAGAAGGTCCCCGGGGCCCCGTGTGATCCAGCAGCATGTTCAGACTCGTTATAGTGAACGCCACTTAGCAACTCGTGTGAAGTCTCTGGAGAAACAAGTTTTAAAAAAGCTCATTAGCATCAGTCATCAGAATCTGAGGATTGCCATGAATTAGTGGAGCGGTAATGAGCCGGTTTCTTAAAAAGCTTCAAAGAGTTGGAGAGCTGCGCACGATCAAAGCCTGGACAGATAATGACTCCTTATCAAACATCATGAAGCTTCGTCCTCAAACTGCTGAGTTGTATTTCATATTCCAAACAGAGTTTCTTCCTGTCAGGGACTGTTTAGTAAGAGTGAAGTTTGTTTTTACTGTCACTGAGAACATTACATAACAAGTACCTTGGAGTGGGCTGAGGGGAGTTTGTTTTCAAGTTTGACCGTCTTCATGCTGCTAACTGAAGTTATTTTTCATGTTGATCCAGGATCAGCAGCTTTACGTCTGCTGCTGAAGCTCCTGTCAAGCTGGAGGATGTTCAGGCGACATGTTAAGCCTCTGCCCGCTGGACGGACACTTTCCCTCCTAAATTTCAGGGATTTATAAACATAAATCCTCTTCTCCATGTAGGCGCTGGAAGATCTCTCTGGCCAAGATTTCGGACAGGGGAAAAGGTTACATTTACAGGCTCTGTAAAATAAAATGCAATTAGCAGTGATTAAAATCAGAAAATGTGTTGTCTCCAACAAATGACACAAAGGGTCCTGAATGCACTGACTAATTATGAGACAACAGGCCCCAGTGAGGCTCCACACCCCTCTGATGAAAAAAACACAAATCAAGTAGAAATGACGCAGCCTCTTTTTTAGTTGTTTTGCATCTCTGTGGTTGTTTTGTGTGTTTCTTTGTGGTCATTTTGAGTCTTGTGTTGTGTCTCTTTGCAGTCATTTTGTGTTTCTTTGTGATGATTTTGCATCTCTGTGTGGTTGTTCTGAGTCTTGTGTTTCTTTGTAATTTTTTGTGTCTTTTTGTGGTCATTTTGAGTCTGGTTTTGCATCTTGTTGTGTTGCTTTGAGTCTTGTGTCTCTTTGCAGTCATTTTGTATGTCTTTGTAGCTGTTTTCAGTCTTATTTTGCATCTCTGTGGTCATTCTGAGTCTTGTGTTGTGTTGTGTTGTGTTGCTCTGTGGTCATTTTGCATCTTTCTATGTTCTTTTGGGGTTTTTGTGGTTGTTTTGAGTCCTGTCTTGTGTCTCTTCTATTTTGTGTTTGTTTTTAGTTGTTTTTTGTCTCATTTTGCATCTCGTTTTGTGTCTTTTTACTGTCATTTTCTGTCTTGTTGCATTCATTTTGCATTTCTGTGGTTGTTTTGTGTGTTTCTTTGTTGTCATTTTGAGTCTCTGTAGTCATGTTGCATCTCTGTGGTCGTTTTGAGTCTTGTGTTGTGTCTCTTTGCAGTCGTTTTGTGTTTCTTCGTGATGATTTTGCATCTCTGTGTGGTTGTTCTGAGTCTTGTGTTTCTTTGTAATTGTTTTGTGTCTTTTTACTGTCATTTTGTGTCTTGTTATATTCATTTTGTGTGTTTCTTTGTGGTCATTTTGAGTCTCTGTAGTCATGTTGCATCTCTGTGGTCATTCTGAGTCTTGTGTTGTGTTTCTCTGTGGTCATTTTGCATCTTTGTATGGTCTTTTGGGGTTTTTTTTTTAGTCCTGTCTTGTGTCTCTTCTATTTTATGTTTGTTTTTAGTTGTTTTTTGTCTCATTTTGCGTCTCATTTTGTGTCTTTTTACTGTCATTTTGTCTCTTGTTACATTCATTTTGCATCTCTGTGGTTGTTTTGTGTGTTTCTTTGTGGTCATTTTGAGTCTTGTGTTGTGTCTCTTTGCAGTCGTTTTGTGTTTCTTTGTGAGGATTTCGCATCTCTGTGTGGTTGTTCTGAGTCTTGTGTTTCTTTGTAAATTTTTTGTGGTCATTTTGAGTCTGGTTTTGCATCTTGTTGTGATTGCTTTGAGTCTTGTGTCTCTTTGAAGTCATTTTGTATGTCTTTGTAGCTGTTTTCAGTCTAATTTTGCATCTCTGTGGTCATTCTGAGTCTTGTGTTGTGTTGTGTTTCTCTGTGGTCATTTTGCATCTTTGTATGGTCTTTTGGGTTTTTTTGAGTCCTGTCTTGTGTCTCTTCTATTTTGTGTTTGTTTTTAAGTGTTTTTTGTCTCATTTTGCGTCTCGTTTTGTGTCTTTTTACTGTCATTTTGTGTCTTGTTACATTCATTTTGCATTTCTGTGGTTGTTTTGTGTGTTTCTTTGTGGTCATTTTGAGTCTCTGTAGTCATGTTGCATCTCTGTGGTCGTTCTGAGTCTTGTGTCTCTTTGCAGTCGTTTTGTGTTTCTTCGTGATGATTTCGCATCTCTGTGCAGTTGTTCTGAGTCTTGTGTTTCTTTGTAATTGTTTTGTGTCTTTCTGTGGTCATTTTGAGTCTTGTTTTGCATCTTGTTGTGTTGCATTGAGTCTTGTGTCTCTTTGCAGTCATTTTGTATGTCCTGGTAGCTGTTTTCAGTCTAATTTTGCATCTCTGTGGTCATTCTGAACATCTGCATCTTTGTATGGTCATTTGGGGTTTTGGGGGTTGTTTTGAGTCCTGTCTTGTGTCTCTTTTGTTTTGTGTTTCTTTTTTGTTGTTTTTTGTCTCGCTTTGCTTCTCGTTTTCTCTGCGGTCATTTTTAATCTCGCTTTGCATCTAATTTTGTGGTCATTTTGCATCTCTGTGATCATTCTGTTTTTGTGATTGTTTTGTGTCTGGTGTTGTGTTTCTTTGTGGTCGGTTTCTGGTCATTTTGAGTCTTGTTGTGACCACTTTGAGTCTTATGTTGTGTCTCTTTGTGGTCTTCTGTGTTTCATTGTGGTCGTTTTAGTCTCACTTTGCGTCTCGTTTTGCATCGATGCGGTCGCTTTAAGACTCTGTTGTCTCTTTGAAGTTGTTTTTAGTCTCGATTTGCGTCTCGTTTTACATCTGTGTGGTCGTTTTGTGTCTTTTGTGTTTGAGTCTCTTTGTGGGCAATTTGATTGGCTTTTCAACAAGACATGCTAACATCACTTCGTACGGAGGCTCTGGCCCCAGAGACAAGTTCAGTAATCCATTCATGCCTGTCTGTTTGTAATTTTTCAAGACATGCCAAAGGTAAAATATTCCCTTAGTTTTGTGAATGGGGATTTCATCAACTGGTTTCACATCAGCAGCACAGAAACTTCTGAACTCCAATTAAAAGATACCACAAGGTAATTAGCCACCATACAGATGTGATAAAGGGACATTTGTTGA